TGGCCCTTTCTTTCAGCAGGTGGTCGTCTCTTGGAACCTGCCCTGTTGACGCTGAAACTACGATCCTGCTGCTAAGTAATCACAAACCTACCTGCAGATCAATAGGGCCAGGTTGGTTTATTATGCTTTTAAAGCACACACACATAGCAGCCACGGGGCGTGGGGCGCGGGGCTTAAAGCGTACTCCCTCAATTGCACTTCCTTAATCTGGCCATGCTTTATGATTGGGCTCAGGCTATAAAGTCCTTGTGCAGGCATCCTATTAATCCAGGGCGAGGCACCTCTCTCCACTGCCAACGTCCTAGTAAGCGTATCTGGATCTGATGACCAGTCCAGATACATTCGAATCATGCTGCTTCAGTCCCAATGAATCTGGCCGACAGTGCAGTCCAGATACATTTACAATGTTCTCTAGTGGACTGAAACCCCAGATCATTCGGGGACTCGCCCTGACCTTACAGCACATTCTGGTATCAAGAGGGAGTCAAACTGCAACCTCCCTCCACTGCAGAACATTCTACACGTATCTGGACGCCCTGATACATTGGAATTGATCCAACATTTTTGAGTGCGACATTCTAGATGTATCTGGCCAGTTTTGTAGGCCTGATACATTTTGGCCCATCCGAAATGCTGAGTGCAATAGCACAATGTGCAGCTTCGGATAAAGGACGTTGTGTAGTGGAGTCGGGCACTCACAGTTCGCATAGATAGCAACCTGTGTGTACCCGTAAACCACCACCGTGACGCAGCAACTCCTCTCTCTCTCTCTCTCTCTCTCTCTCTCTCTCTCTCTCTCTCTCTCTCTCTCTCTCTCTCTCTCTCTCTCTCTCTCTCTCTCTGAGACCCTCGTTGTTCCACCGCTCGCCAAATTTGAAGCGAATCGTGGCGAGTCAAGGTAATCTGCATGTAGCACATGGCAAGATATTAACATTGCCCACTCGTGATATTTCACTATCATAATGCTGAGTGCATCAGGACGTCTAAGACAGCAAGATACACTGGCCAGTTTCCACGCTCAGCAAGTCCTGCAGCCACGGCCTGGGGTCTGGCCCCACTGCGCAATGATGTGAATGTATCTGTACCCCGTGATTGACCAGTTCATTCCACTGTTGGATCGTTACGAATGTCTCTGGTCGATATCGACAGTCCAGATTCAAGTCTAATGTTGACTATTGGAACGAGGCCCACGCTGTTGGCTAGTCCTGTGCTGAATTGGTAGTCCTGGGGTAGAGACTTGGTTGGACGTACGGACTCTCCAACTGTTCATAAAACTGTCCAACCTCTATAGACGATTAGCTGTCCGCCCCCGGTAAGGGATTTTTTTTTTTTTTTTTTTTTTTTTTAAGGGATAATATGCTCGAACACAAAATGAACACAGCAAACGCCTAATATTTGCTCATGTAACTTGTGTCCAGTTCTCCATTATATAAAAAAACATACAGCAAATACTAGAGCATAGTACAATGCAAAAAGTCATGTGTACAGTGCACACAAACAGTTGTTCATCAACTGTTAAGCAGAATTCAATTTTAATATCATCAAGTTTTTTTTTTTTTTTTTTTTTTTTTTTTTTTAAAGAAAAAAAAAAGCATAATTTCATTTTCATTATAAAGGCCAAAAAATAATTTTGCCTTGGGCACTGGGCCTGTAAAAAATGCGTCTTTTATTAAAACACACACACACACACACACACACACACACACACACACACACACAGAGAGAAAGAATTTAGAGGAAGTCATACCATGTCCACGTTTAAGTGAAATGACTTGGACACAACGAAATTCCTGTACGGTCTGTACCTACTACTCCCAAAACGTCCCCATTCTTCTCTAAGCTTCCCTGGGAGAAGCCACAACACAATACTGGTACCCCCTCAATACAGGGGTTTGTGTGTGGGTGGGAAAAGAAGAAGTAAAAGGAACGCAAGCTATAAGATGCGGCCTTTTTGTCATATGCAGGCGAGCGAATTGGGGCCATCAGAGGTGATGGTAGGTTGTTTTCTATCATTTTTCGCAGTGCGAACTGTCCTGAGGATGGAATGGTTTCGTGGATATCAACCGTTTGCCTAGTTTGTCTCTACCGCAATAGGGAAGGGTGGCAAGGGGACACTCCAACTTGAAGGTGGTATAGGATGGTGAGGGTGAGGTTCTGACGTGTCGTGCTAGGGCAGGCAATGTCATGTGGCTGACGGATGCAGCCTGCACAGAACCCTGGCATTGCTCTTGTTCCACGTGGCACTGCCGCAACCTCGACAACTACGAATTGAGTCAAATATTGAAAAGGATAGCATCTCTAAGTTCACTGTTCACAGCGAGACCGGATGCCCAAGAAGTGAGATCAGGCCAACTGTCTCCTCACAGCACGTGCGCCAGCTTCCCTCGACAGTCTAGTAGGCGCAGAAGACCTTTGCGAATCAGCTGACGCTTTAATAATATTAATATCCCTTCAACTGTAAACAATAGAGTAACCTGAGCTGCTGTGAGAAAGGACATCCACGGTAATTTAAGTCGTGGTTGGACTTGTCGATGTGATTCTTGGGACGCTTGTCCATGGCTGCAGAGAGGTACAGGCAAGTTGTGAGCATCTGCAGGACCTGGTGGGAAAGGGACCCGGTCTGTCAATGACATATCGCATGCATTGGTCACTGTGACACTGTTGGTATGCACTTTTGGAAAAAGCATAATTTTACATTCCTCATTCAAAAACTGAAATAACCTTCAGAGGAAACTGAAGGTGTGGGGAGTCATACCATGTTCACGCTGTACAGAAAACACAGCGTACCTCAAACCTCATCGTTGGTTCCGGCTGCGACACTGAGTTCTGAAGCCATGCTGTGGTGGTGACAGTGGATGGAGTTCATATTAACAGAAACCACAGCATGCAGCCAAGGCACCCATATATCAAGTCAACAACACTTGTTTTCTCTTCTGGTGTGTGCCTTCCACGACACAAATTAAATGACTCATAGTCATGACATCTACCAGTGTCCATAACACCAACCACCCCTTCTCAACTGCTGCGGGAAGAAAGAGAGAGACAGAGAGAGACACAGAGAGAGAGAGAGAGAGAGAGAGAGAGAGAGAGAGAGAGAGAGAGAGAGAGAGAGAGAGAGAGAGAGAGAGAGAGGATTTAACACCTGAATATGGACGTGCTTGGGGAAAAGTGCAGAAATCTCCATTCTGAACACTCCACAAACAGGCCAGATTCAGTCGTTTCTCTGAGAATTTCACTCCTGAATGTGGANAGAGAGAGAGAGAGAGAGAGAGAGAGAGAGAGAGAGAGAGAGAGAGAGAGAGAGAGAGAGAGAGAGAGTGCCAAGAGAATTTCTGATCACATTCTTAAAACGTCCCCTTCATGTCCTTATGTACAGCACTTCCAGTGGTAAAAAAAATCCACGGCATTGCATCCAAGCCAACTACTTATACACTGCTGCATATGAGTGTACATTTTTGAGGATGCAAATGATAATGATCAATAAGGCAAGAGCGTGGCAATGAATCAGATCTGAAGAGTACTTGAAGCCAAATAGGGCCATGATCTGGAAGAGTGTCCAAAGTCCACCTCTCTGCAGCAGCCTTGCAAGTTGCCTTGAAGAGCCTCAATTCCTGCATAGAAAATTAAACTGTTTCTCTCCAAACAAGAAAAAATAAAGGGAAAAAAGAAAGGGACCATGTGGCCCATCATTGATCTGCTTTCTCCATCCACCTTCAGCTGCTGCAGCAAGCTCCACTTTTCCCGCAATTCTGTCCAATGTAGCTACAATACCAACGTCGGCTGTCATCATGTCCGGTCGATTCCGTTTCTCCAGGCTCGCACACCGCAGCCCCAAGCCTGCCACCTCTCGAGCCAGACCGACATCCCAACAGCCTGCATTGGGATCAAGAGCATTTTCAAACGCTGCACCACCTCCTCCCATCGCATCTTCGATGATTCCCACTGCATTCCAGAATTTCCCAGTGAGAACTTCCAAAAGAGTCACACCAAGCGCGTAGATGTCTGTCTTCTCGCTGCAAACCCCAGAACGCAAATATTCTGGTGCCACGTACTGAGAGTTGTTTCCAAGGAAAGCGCGAAAAGAATCTGTTGCGATCTGCCCTCCCCAATGTTGTTGGGACGTAGGGAGAGCCCGGTCAACCTGGCAAATCTTGGCCACAAAATTATGATCAAGAACGACGTTTGCTGGTTTGATGGCCCCGTGGATGATGGGACCACCACTGTCCAGCTGGTGAGAGTCACTATCATGGAGGAAGGATACTGCCCGAGCGACTTCTGCCATCACACGAAGGCGAACGTACCATGGGAGAAATCCTCTCCTGTGATTGTCCCCACCTGAAATCCACTGCTTCAGACTTCCGTTTGCCACGTCCTCGTACACCAAACAATTCTCTTCATAACAAACTCCCAACAGCCTCAACAAATTGGGATGCTGCAACATTCTCAACCTGTCCACCACCTTGTCCTTGAAGTCCTCATGATCAGTCCCTCGATGTGTGCTTGTAACCCTCACCTTCTTAACCATAATAGGCGTACCATCGTGGAGTTTTCCAGAGTAAACAGACTCGTTGTAATCTGCATCACCGCTTCCCAGAGTCATGTTGAAGTCTTTTGTGGCCTGCTTGAGCTCCGCCAGAGAATACTGTCTCGTTGCACGTGTAGCAACTTCATTTTTCAGTCGGAGTTTCATTTCACTGATTCTTTCGTTGAGATCTTTGATGAGGGCTACTCTCTCTAGCTCCAGCTCCAGCTCCCGAATCTTTTTCGTGGATTTTTCAAGCTTTTCCACGAGTACTGTCTTCTGTGCARCGAGGTTTTTCACCTCACTGTGCAGGTGTTGGTCCTTTTGTGCAAGCTCTGCCCTCTCGACCTCCAGCTCTTCATTCCTCTGTTCTGCATGTGCAAGCCTCTCTCCCATCACTGTGCTCTTCGACTTGAGCGCTCTTACCTCATCCTCTAACTGCTTCCCCCGGCTTGCTTGAATTCTCTCCTTCTCTTGGTGATCTGCTCTCACTTTGTCAAGTCCGTTCTTAAGTTTCAGTCTCATCTCTGCCAACTCTTCATCTTTTTTCCTGGTTAGCTCAAGTTTGACACGATCCACCTCTTCGCTTTCCAAATCCTCAACCACCTTCTCCTTCTTAAGTTCTTGTGTTGGATCTTGTTTTTCTTCTCTTGTGTTATCTCAAGAACTTGGAACTGTCCTATAGCTCCAAGCACGAGCTTGTGAGAGTTTCTGCAAGCAGCCATGCTCCTCAGATATTTGACTCCAAGTGGAAACGATGACGCCAGCTCGTAGTTTGACTGCCTCCTAACTTCAATTTCTCCATCGTCTGACGCACTGAAGATGTACGGCAAGTGCGGATGGAAAAACACAGACATCACAGAACACTTGTGTCCTTCCAGTTTGGCTATGCAAATTCCTATCTTGTAGTCCCAGACCCTTACCAACTTCTCATCATGTCCCGTGATCAGAAGCGACTTCTCTTGACCACTACTAAATTCCATGTTGTTGATGCAGCTTATTCCTTCAGTATCTCCAAGTGTTTGGGAAGGGGAGCGATTACTTTCCGTATGATCCCAAATTTTGATTGTGCCATCATATGAGCCACTTGCAAATGTACGTGACTCAGTTGGATGAAAAGACAAAGTCCACACATCATCAGAATGACCTTGGAATGTAGCTTTCTTTTGCCAATTCTTGGTCCAGTCCCACCAAAAAATGTCTAAGCCGAAACTGGCAAGTACATAAGGTAAGCTATGATGGACCGCCAGTCCCCATGCACGGCCTTCATTAGGAGACTTCAGCTCAATGATATGCCTCAAGCCTGAAGCTTGGATTTCATACACATCAAAGGATATCCATCGTTTCACCACAATCCAGTCTTTCTGTGCAATGAATTTTGCGCATAATATACTTTCCACCGCATCAGGCGTTACTACCCAAGCTGCAACCCGTGTGCCATCCCCGTAGTTCCACACTTGAACTGACTTGCTTGGGTGGATCCAGGGTAAGATCAGAACCCACGGCTTACGAGGATGCAAATCGATGCACACAAGATTATTAAAACCGCCGTCCAAAATCTGACACCCTGCCTTCTTAAATTTCGTGACAAGGGAGACTTCGCTGTCTGGTTCTGAATCGGCCATGTTTGCCTTGGAGGATGCTTACTATAATAATTAATCAACGTTTCTTCCGATACTAACTTACGAAGCTGCACCTGAATTTACGTGGCGTGGCACATGTATTTATGGTTACCATAATTCTAATTGCATTAATTTAATGGAACCATCCGGTTCACCAGTTCACTGCTCAAAATGAATGAATTCGTAGCTTGCCCAGCCAACGAAGGATGATTACGTTGTACATTTTGCAAAAAAAAAATAAATAAAAAAAATCACGAACTTGAAGGATGATGTAGTCACAGCACCATAATAGTTGTGCGCTCTGGCCGTCTGCCCAATGCATGCTTTCCAAGAGAGTTGCCCCCCAAAACTGGTTGTTGTTGTTGTAAGAACAAAAGGCACAGGAGCAAAGCACGAGTGCCCTCAGGCTGTCAGAAACTTTAAGGCATTACACCTATAATATAAGAGAACCCTTTGGAAGTCCTCTGGAAGGAGAGCACAAAGGGAACAAAAAAAAAAAAAAAAAAAAAGGGAAAAAAAAAAGCAACGCATAGAAGCTATGTTGAATGGATGAATTGGTGGAAACCAGTTTTATGTGCCAACCGTACTTTAAAATTGACATCGAGCTTGGTTCGTTTCCTCCCTTTTTCCTCCGTTTCCAAAAATAAACTATTTCGGACAGTTCTTATGATGGGGAGTAGGCCAAGGAAACAGAGGTTTGCAAAGCTTCCGTCAGGCTGCACGACAATCCAAGGGAAAACCAACGGCCTAGCTCAGCTGCTACACCCATGAACTGTTTTTTTTTTTTTTTTTTTTTTTTCCCTCCAGCCACGGATGTCCTGTTGAAATTTACACGCCTGAGATCCAATCCAGATGGATATGGAGGTATGAAGCAAAATTCATTAAGGAAAAAAAAAAGAAACAGAAAAGGAAAAATTTTTAAATTCAAAAAATTCAAAAATGTATAATACTGATTCAAGACAGAGCAAAGCATTAGAATGGAAAAAGAGAACGATACACCATGGAAATCCACTCCGCACGCCAAAGATAATATGTCGAAAGTACGAAAACAACTTTTATAGGAGATCAAACATGAACAACACCCACGCAGCCAACCCCTCTATGCGTTGCGTCTGCCCCGCACACAGACTCTTCAGGAGGGAAGATCTGAAAAAGCTGTCATCACAACCATCACTCCTTCACAACAGGGGCCATACCAAATGCCTTGCCCCATATTTATACTCATCCCACGCCTATCCTGCACAAGCCCGAACCTAACGACGACCACTTGAGCATCCCCATCGAAAGCCACAAGGGAACCATCATCCCATCCCAGGGCTCAACCCACGAGGTCGCCATTATGTGAGCCCAAATCGATGGCCAACACAAACCAACCAACGGTGGTCATGGTACAGTAACTATGAACACCCAGGACGCACACAACGAACACGGAACCATCGGCTCGTTGACCGATCCGCTGAATGAGCCGATGTACACAACGGAGCTCAATCACAACCAAGCAAACACACTGACCAAAAGGAAGCACACATCGAACACAGTCGCTCTCCGCTGGAGCTCCAGAGGCATGCCACCCAGGGGCGGAGGGAGGAGAATAATGTTTTATTTTTTTAAGTACAAAAAAAGAAAGAAGCAACAAACCTGAGAAAAGGCTACTGCCAATGGGCCTACCTCAGTTGGTACAGTGTCACCCATTAGGGACTGAAATATGGGTGACCCAACTTCGGATCCACACTGCATGCAGCCAGATCAACAGAATATAACATAGTACTTGTTAGACTACCGGCGGCTGGTCAGTTAAGCCACCAGTACTTGGCCCATACATCGACCGCAGAAAAGAATAGAGTAGCAGCTGGTCTGTGGGAAGATGCATTCGTTGTTTTTCCGTTTCGACAGTGGTGTGGCAACCCCCAGAGAGTGTTGATGGTGTGGTTGGCCATGAAGCCTCAAAACTCCCTCCCTCTTTTTTGCAATGGGTGATAAATGCACCAGGCCATCCAGGCGGCTGTCCACGTTTGTGTCACTACATCGTGAAGTCCCTTCACTCGGGCATACTTTATTTCCGCAAATTTACCTGTTCAAAACTATCGGCCAAATCTTTATGCAGCATTTGCTTCTTATATTAAAAAAAGAAAAGAAACAACGGAGGACGCGGCATGTTTTGAGTTCCTAAAGGCATGAAAAACAGGCCTTCGGCGACTGTGTCAGGGCGTGAGTTCGAAAAGGCGTGCCAGCAATG